TAAAACACACATTTATGTGGCCAAACAGTGCCAGGGTTTCTTCTTTTAATCCTTTTGCAGCTACCACTTCTCTGCCTTAGTGCCAGGGTCGGCCCAACCTTCACATTTTGCGTGGCTGTGCCCATCGAAGCTTGGACAAATTCGCGACTGAGATGCCCTCAACGGGCTCTCCGTGCCTTTGGGTCGACCTTGGGGGGTTGTTGGGTACGTGGTAGTTTTTTCCCGCCCGCTTCGTTCCCTCGAGCTTTGCTGCCTTTGCTTTCGATGGGGGAAGCGGAAAATGCGCGCAAGCCCATCTTGTCTTTTTGAGCCTTTGTGTCGTGGTTTTCCAACTGGCCATGGTGGTAGCGGAAATTCGGGTACCCTTTAAGGCGACTTTCGTCACGTCGCCGGGATTCAACAAAAAAGGCCCGAACCTATGCTTGACCACCTGCGCGGAAGTTCTTCCAAACGGGGCTCCCGCAAAATGTCATATTTTGAGACAGACCCCTTTGTTTGCTTACCAAACCAAATGTATTTTGGGGTCCCAGGCTTCTTTTCTCGGCAAAATGGCGCCCAGGCGGCTCCAGGGAGCGGCGCTCAGGATTGTCGCGCCGTTGTCTTGTGGAAGGAGCTTCTGCCTGGCTCAAGGACTCCGTCGGTTTTCCCAACTTTGGCCTTTTGACCTTTTTGGTTTCCCTGATTTGGTCCATTTTCGGTCATGGCCCCAAAAGCTTCAGCTTGTATTGCGGGGTCCTTGGGGCAACTGAGAGGATTGTAAGGCCAAACTTAAAAGCTCTACTTCCTTTTTTTGGTCCCAGCGTCAAGGATCGATTCCAACACTTTTGCCAACAGTCCCAGCTCCAGTCTCAGCATTGATCCAATTTTTGGTTTTCCTTGTGGCCCGGAAGTGCCCGTTTCGCCGAACCCCCAGATGGCAGCTTGTTTCATCACCTCTGACCCGTTTCCGCCAAGTTGGCCTGGAGCCCGGGGAAGTGGTCCAAGTGTCAGGGGCACTACATGGAGCAACGAAGGCGGAGCGTCGGAAAACGTTTTCCGTAGCTAGAAAAAAGGAAGCGTTCAATGAAGTGAAACGCAAGAGACAAGAAGGATAATGGTTGTTGCTTCTCCTTGCTAGTTGGCGTGGGTTTACCATGGTTTGTGCATCTTTTTTCTCCTGCGCTATGTGTTCCCACACTGAGAAGGGACCGTCCCCTATAGCCACAGAGAGAGGTTGGCTGCTGTTTGGCGCTTTAGGCTTGGGCACATCAGGATTCTTTCCGACTTTCGCCGGACCTTGGATTTTTCTCGCCCGGAGAGGCTTGAGCCAGTGTTCTTTGTTGAGAGGGGCAACTTCCAGTTGATCATGTCTCGAAATGGGGACCCCCCCAAGAATCGTCGTTTCCTTTTGGCTTGAATAGAGTGGTCTCCTTTGCAACACAGCTGTGCAGTGTGCTTTCTCTTGAAGCATGGACCCTCCTGGAGGTGGCCTAGAGGTGGCCTGGAGGGTGCCTAATTTTCACGCAAAGCCAGACATATTTGTTTGGACTTGGTTCATCACACTTGAGGCAGCCGTCGACCGTTGGATGCAATTAGACAGGTCCACCTCCCACTTCCATGATTGCTGGCAATAGGGACACAAAAGTCGTGAGCCTTGACAGGTTCTATCTGGATTTCGCTTGAAACAAGCTGCCTATAAGTCAATAAGTTTATTTTGCATGTTCCGCAAAAACAGGCGCCCCTCTAGGTAGAATGTACTGAGTGATCTTTCCTAGCTGTTGTGTCGCTCCGTGCCGCTTTGGTAGTTTCCCCTTCTCTTTGAAACACTCACGAATGGACCCGCCAATCAGTTCTGCGAACCGAGGCTTCGTGAGGGGGGCCAAGCAGCTGGGGCCGAGAACCCATTTTTCAGTGTTTTGGATATGCTCAAGGCGCAGGAAAAGTCGAGCACTACAATTTTCATGTGTGTCGGCTCACATTTGAGTGGGGCAAAAGTAGGAGGGATTGAAAACTTAGACCTCGTTTTGGTTGGGGATCTGGCTTGCGGGGAGACTCCCTCGAAGACAAGCCGTGTCCAGCATCCTTGACGTTCTCATGTTGGCCCATGACAGCACACTCTAGGGGTATGCATCGTCAGCCATTTGGATTCACTCTAAAGTGGGATGCACCCTGGAAACACTTCCCGTCGAGTTTAGTCTCTTCAAAGACAAGTACGACCCACGAGGTCCACCTGTTTTTCCCATCCTTCATGCTGAGATGAGTGTAGCTTTGGAGGGTACCCTCAAGATTTGGAAGGACAGCCAACGGGTAACCTTTGAATGTTGGAGAGTCCCTGTGTTTCCCTGTTTGGTGGTTTCAATCACCTTTCTGGCCCATTAAAGGTGCGTCTCCCTTGGTAGGGGGGTGTATTAAGGGGGGCTATATAGGGACACCTTCCATTTTTGGGTGTTCCCCACTTAGACAAAGAAAAATCCCTCGGAATTTAGGCTCGGAACGGCTTCGGCTTTGGCTTTTCCTGAAGCTACACGTGATGCCCTGAGTCTTGCTAGCAAAATTATGAAGCACCTACCTCGCGAAAGACGTGGGTGTTTCTTTGTTGGGGGCGATTTCTGTTTGGTTTTAAACGGACACCAAGCAATTTCAGGGCCCCATTGTTGCATAGACCGAAAGTGCCACAGGCTCACGTCCGCGTTTCCCGGTCGACACTTTTTTGATTCGGGGGCATCATGCAAAGCTATCGTGTCAGCCTCCCACAGGCAAAGCCGTGGGTGCTGGGGTGTCGGCCCGGCATCGCTTTCGTGATTGCGGGACGTGTGCTCTCCGGTCTTTGTTTCTTGCCTTGAGATAAACATTTTTCAATTAGCATTTTTGAGTTGGGGTGTGTTCCAGTGTTTGTTTCTTGCCTTGTTGAGCTAAACAAAAAACATGCAGCATTTTCGAGTTGGGGAAAGAACTGCGAAGCCTGCTGTCAAAAGGCTTTTCGGAGGGGAAGGAACGAGCCGCAGACGAAGTGTCGCTGAGGCTGCTTTTGGAACCAGTGGTGCTTACCCGTTTCAACGAATCGTTCACCGAGAGAATGCTGCCTGTCATGTTCTCTCATCCGTGCTTTCAAACCACGAGTGAGTCTCACTTGTTCATTGTTTGTTTAGTTTGTTTTGCTTGGTTATTTGATTGCTTTGCTAGGCTTGGCTTTGCCTTTCTTTTCTTTGCTTTGCCTTGCCTCGCTTGGCCTTGCCTCGCTTGGCCTTGCCTTGCCTTGCCTTGCCTTGCCTTGCCTTGCCTTGCCTTGCCTTGCCTTGCCTGCTTGCTTGCTTGCTTTGAACAATGTCGGAAACAGAGCAATGTAACGCACAAGAGGGCAGCATGAGAACCGTAAGCACAATCACTCCCCGCGTACACCTGTATACCCTGTCATTTTTATTTCTACTTTTTTCCGGACCCTTGCCCACGCCTGGACCCTTACTTAGTGGGCATTCCAGAACTCTTCCATGTCTGATGGCACATCCAACCCGTGTGCACTGTGAAGTCAAGTACGAGATAACTTCAACACAGAGGAACCATACTTGAACATGTAAATTTATGCCTTGACAGGCTTTATTTGACTCATTTGACTCAAGAGTTGGACATGACAAGTTTATAGCTTGTGTGTCTGGGAAAGGGTGGCGATCACTTGGATTGGGGCCCAAGTGGCCAAACATCTAGCGCAGCTGTGACCTGTGTGGCAGATGTAATTTCCAGGGTGGAGGATGAATATCCTGGTGGCTGCTTAAAGACGATGCCTGCTTTCGACTTGGAATTCGGGCCGACACCGTTTACTTTACGAACTTTCGCTCTTCGCCTGGCGACTCGCGATGGACCAAAGAGCTCCGTAGATTTCGGTGTAAACTTTGGGACATTTCAGGTTGAAAGGGACACAAAGAGGAACTGCCACTTTTCGCAGTTCCTTATTTGGAGAATGCTCATTTCTGGTTTTTGGCGGCCTCATGTCGGAAGGGGACCTGTGGGGTGCCCTGAATCCTGCCCTTTCGAGCTGCCCCTCTCGGGCTTGGAGCAGAGACAAAGACGCACGGAAGTTGCACAACGCGCACGCATTTGTAGAGGAACACTGGCCTTTTTTCGGACTCGGACCCATCTTGAGGTTTACTGGAGAATTTATTTTTAGGCTCCCTTCTTGGCGATTTGCCGGTTAATGGAATTAGAGCACCCCAGCCGCCCAAGAGAAGACTGAACCCATGGTTTTGTCAACTTGTCCATGAGTTTGTGGCTAATTTGTTGTGGCCAGTTTTTGGAGCATGGGACATTGTCATATTCCCCACAGGAAAAAAAAAAAAAACACGGCCGCTCCAATTCCGTGCCCCCATGTCTTTTGCCTCGTGCCCAAAAAAACCTCTCGGGGCGGGCCTTGAGGTGGGAGCTGGCTTGAGGTAGGCTCTCTGAGGGGACTTCAGTGTTTGTTTTTCGTTTTCAGCGCGGCTTGTTCCAAGGACGGTGATGCATGCAACGGGAAGCGGAAGATACCCTTTCTTTGTGCGCCTTCAAGACAAATGGCGTCCAGGGAGACTTGTGAAAGCAGCTACTGAAAGCGGGTAGGTCCTCTAGCACGCCCTCTTGCACTTCGCAATCGCGCTACAAGCTGGTAGAAACCTCGGGGCATGTCCGGCTTCGCTTTGACACTGTGTCGCTGTGGCCGGTCTCGCAGCCTATGCTTTTGTGTTTTTGTCAAAGCATCAGGGCTGCCAGGTGAGGAACAACCATTCGCCAATTCAGCAAGCGAGTTTGACCCGATGGAAGGATGAGGCGATCAAGCAATCTCTTGGTCTCTTTCCGCGCACTTATCCAGCCGGACGCAGACAGCAACCATTCCCCCTCAAAGCAACAATCAAGAATTGTGCGTCGGAGCTGAAACTAGCGGAGAAGTTATGTCAATCCATTTTGTGGTATGTCCAACTCGCGCTGTGTGGCGTGAATCTACTTGAGCAAGCTTCAGCTTCTCAATTGGACGAGCACATTCATCCGGAGCCAGGCGTGAGAGCGGTAGAATAAGTTCACCTTTGTGAATGGCGCCATGGGTTGCAACATCCAAAGTTGTAACTCGCAGGCGGGGACTTTGCGAGAGGATGCAGGGTTGGGCTCGTTTTGGGATGGTGCCCTGGGGCCGTTTTACAGCGCAAACAAAGGCTAGAGACAAGCACCCCAGAAGTTTCCTATTCGAAGTTGAACTTGCCCTCCCACCAGCATGCGAATGCCATAGTCAGCTTGTATTTTCCCAGTCCAGAAGCATCTTGCAAATAAACGTGTGCACCAAGCCAAGTTGGTTGACGCGTCGTTCTGCCAGCTCTCCACCTTTTGGACCGTGTCAGCATCCGCAAGTGGGACGTCACTCAGCAAGTCATGCGTGAACAAAATGTGGACACTGCAAATGGTACATCTTGAAGTAAGTTGACCGTTGCCCTGCTTGGTCATGCAACCGCCGACCTGTTACCCGCCAACCTGAGAACACGGCCCTGCGCAAATGCATTGAGGCCGGCAGGAAGGTGCATGCTAGATGCTAGTAAATGTGCAATCGGCCTTGCGCCTGTCGGCGCCTCCTGAAGCGGAAAAGTTCAGAGCAAAATGCCTTCCTGTCTTTGGAACGCTCGACCCCCAAACAGAACGCCCTCCCACGCAGCAGAAACGAGGAGCAGGCATTGCTACTAGCTGCATGCGAGCCGCACACTGGAGCTGTCTGTGTGGGTTTTGTCAGGATGCCCCTTTGACTGCTTGGTGAAGGGAAGACCAGATCCCCGGTTGCACCCCCCCAAAAGAATAGCATGATTCCACTTGTTTTTTTTTCCTTCCTCAATTTGTTTTGTTACCAAAGCTGCCCCGTCTCCCTGGGATGATGCAACAAGGCAAAATGCCGGATCTCAAATCGGACTTGCGCTCTTTGAACTTCCATTCTTGGTCTTTGGCGGTAGTGGAGCCAGAAGAGACGATTCAGCCATCCCCAGCCCCGAATTTCATGTACATGGAGCGGGGTCCGCATCCATGAAAGGGGGCTGTTTATACAATTCCCACGGTGTCCCTTGGGTAAATAGAACAAACATGTGGGTTCCCTCATGATTGCGAGTTACAATTTAGCAATATGTTGCAGTACAAGAAGCTTTTCAATATTAGCAACATTTTTTCAAGTATTAACAATACAAGAAGCTTTTCAACATTAACACCATTTTTTTTCCGATTATTACCAACACAAGAAGCTTGTCAACATTAACACCATTTTCTTTTCAAATATGAACAATACAAGACGCTTTGCAATAAAAAACACCATTATCTTTTCAAATATTAACAATACAAGAAGCTTGTCAGTATTAACAACATCTTTTTCAATTATGAACAATACACGACGCTTTTCAATATTATCAACATCTTTTTTTCCCAATTTTTTGCTTCTAAAGAAAGACAACACAAGAAGCTTTGCTTATGAATGTCTGAGATCAGACTAGGTTTGAAGCTTTTCTTTCTTCCGATGCTCCCAGGTCCCCGCCTGCGAGTCCCTGAGCCGCTGCAAGGTGCGGCTGATTCGTCCGATGCGCTCCAGGGGCTGAGGTGAGCAGTCAAACCCGGGCAGATGAACAGAGGCCCCATTGAAACAGGATCTCCATTTTGCCTTGCCATTTGAAACATGTTTGCTTTTTCAGCACCAAGATATAGGGGAACAACACCATTTACAAGTTGCAATGTTCAGGTGTATAATGTAAGGATCCCTGATGAAGGTGAGGAAGGGACAGTTTTAACCAAAAATAGCTGCGGATATCCGGCTTAATTCTTGAAACATGGTTCTGGGTCGACCATTGTAATAACGGGTTTTGATTATGACTCAGGTGGATTTGGATCGTTGAGGCCTTCAACGAGAGAAGCCCGAGGTGTCAATGTGTGTCTCCATATACTTGGGAGGTCGGATCCCTAGAAGAGTCGGGTTTCGTTTTGTGCTATGGTTCAAAACCAAGGGTACCATTTTGGGATAGGTGCACCACCCATTTTAGTCTATTTTAGTGGGGATTGGGATGGTCACTGGGGGTACGGGGTTTTGACCCATGGCCAATTGGCTGGAAGTGGACATTCCTTGACATCTCAAAGAAGCATCACATATTGATTCCGGGTACTTCAGGCACAGTTTGGTATCGAGATGTGGCAGATGCCCCGAAGATTTGCGAGTTCTTTTTCATCCGGTGGATGGATGGCCTGCCCCCCCCCCCCCCCATACGGTGGTGCTTCAAGTGCGAGATCGCGTGCACCCTGTTGGCCAAACGAGCCATCTATAGCAGGCCCGCAAGTCTTGAAACCCATGGAGCTGCCAGAAGCAAGACCGGCAACAGCCTCGGCTTTATCATCAGAAAGCCCTTTGGAGCCGAGTTGGTCAGCCATTGATTTGGCGGGAACTTGTCCCTCTCGTCCCCTCAAAAATCGACCAGCTGGATTCCACGGTATCAGGAACACTCGCAACCTATAGCGAGGGAGCATATTGACGCGATCTTAGGCATCTCTGTTTTGTCTATGGCTTTCTTCTGAACTGTACAAATCCTTTGCGGACGGTCTACAAAAGGGTCACCAAAGGAACCTCAACATTGGCTGGGTCCCTCCTATTTGGGATGGGCCAAGGTGTCGTTCTTGGTCAGTTTGGTTGACCACAATTTATCACTTGAGACACAATCAAAACCCAAGCCCAGCCAAAATGGGTGCCGCCGCCTTTTCAATTCCTTAGATAGTTCTGGGTTCATCATTTTTGTACCAGGTTTTGATGCTGACTCACTTTGGTTCTGAACACTTTTCAGTGCCACCATTTTTCCAAAACATGCGGGCCTTCTTTCTAGTGGTGCGACCAAAATGGTCGGAGAGGCCTACGAGATCTGGGACGAGCCATGCTGCAGTGAGCACTGCAGGCCAAGGGGCACGGGCTCGGGGAGCGAGGCTGGAGTCTTCAGCCACTTTTCTGAGACAACCGTCGCTTCACTTTAAGTATTAGTCATTGGGAAGGCCTTCTGGTGGCAAACGGAAATGTGTGTAATCCTGACGTTGTGTTGGTTCAGCGACCCTTTTGGCACTGCTTTTTCTTTAAGCCCCAAGTGACTGTACAGCCTTTTCGGGATGCTTTGACACATACCGAGTGGTTAGCAACACGGAGTCACAGGGAGGGGCCACTTTCCTGATTTGTCACGAAGGGATCACTGTGAGGGGGGGGAGGTTGGTCAGCTCAAACCCTGCTCAAAAGAACGGCCTTTGATCCTTAAATTTGGACAGAATATGGCTGCCCCAGGTGCCAATCCTTTCGATCCGATCGCGCGTTGAACTTGCCCTCTGCGATGGGAATCTGATTTTGTCTCTTTATTCGAAACATTGTGCTTCATGGGACAGAGCACCTTTGGTTTCGTGTTTGTGCGAGAGAAAGTGCCTTCATTGAATAATGCATACAAAGCTTCCACATCGAATCATCTTTGAATAAGTGGCTTACAACAGGCAATGCAGGTATATTGTAGGGGTATTGGTGGTATCGAGCTTCTCAGCAAGCAGGGTTGACATCGACCACAGTGAACAGGTCATCAGCGTTTTCACTCCTCTCCCACAGTCGGTGTATCAATCTGGGGCCGAGGAGTGTTTGTTTGCAGGCGGCCGCCCATTCCATTACAATACCCGTTGTCATCAGGAAATTTCAGGATACCATTTGTATCCACGTATAGATTGCGACCCTCCCGTTTCGAGACTCTAATTCATGGTTCAGGCATGTTTTCGGGGGCACGAACATATCCGACGTGCCGATGTGCTGCCCCCCTATGGCGTACCGCCGTCCCTCCACTAGCACGGAACCCCCTAACCGGAAGATTACTCTCCACTGGCTAGTCTCGTTCCACGGCAACGTGGGTGGGAGGCTTCAGTCCAATGGGTTCGGCAGTGTGGATGGGCATACATTTTCTATCGATGTGGGGCAACGCCCTGCAAAAACTCGCAACACTACCGGCCCCTCGGAGGGGAGCAGGGACTTCTATTGGTTTAAGGTTCGGACCCAACAAGGCGCCTTAGGTTGGGATACGACCCCCCAAACATTTCCGGACGGCCTTGTTTGGCCTGGTGGCAGGTTGCATGTTGTTAGATATGGGTATGGGTCAAAATTCAACCACCAAAGGACCGGTTTAGTCCAGGTTTCTGTTTGCCAGGGCAGCGCATTTTGTGCTTACCCTATTTTTGACCCACAGCCATCTTATTTCCTCCGTGGAATCCACTTCTCTTTTTGTTCCAACGGACGCGTAGGCAAAATGTGCGCGACAACCGCCTCAGCGACCTCGGCGATATGGAGGACGCGGAGTTCGGCGTTGGCGAAGTCGTGTTTCTTGTTTGCTCTCCGGGGAAGTTGTCTTAAATGGGAACTACCTTTGTTAGTGGTTTCGAAGATTAGAAGACTAGACATATTCTTTTTAGTCGAAACTTTTCTTCAGATACTTTGAACAATGCTTCTACCTTTGTTTCGTTGTCTTTAAGCCGTTTTGAAGTCATACCCAGGGGACCCTCCCAAACAGAAGACGATAGTTTGAGGAACATGAAGCTCCTTTTTTGCGCAAGGCGCTGTGGTTCGGGGGGGCCAACAATTCTAGTTCTTTGGTTTTATGATTGGAACGAGGGGATTTGGGGTCTACAGTGAACTAGGAAGTGCACATCCTTGATGGTTTTGAAAGGGAAACTGAAAGGGACCTACCGTCCCCGCATGTTTGAAGCCCATGAATGTGCTTATTTACTCGCTTCACCTTCAGGGAAGGAGCCACATTTCCCTTTACTCGCGCATTTTTCCATGTCCTTGTGGGGGAGCAAGTTATTTTGGCTGTGGCTCAATTCATCTGCTCCGGGGCTTGGGGGCTGTGAGGTCGGCGGACACCACAGGGAAGGCAACGGATCAAATCTTTGGCTCTTCACCACAGCTCAGCTTGTCACCTTTCAAGCTTGGGGGACCTTGGGCAGACTACACTTCAAAAGCGCTTGCACTTCGCCGGGGATTTGGACGGACGGTTTTAAGTATCGCCTTTGGGGCCAACTTGAAGTTTCTTGGGCGATGCTTGAAAGGGACATCTTCAGCACCCTGAACATTATTATTTTTTTACCCCTTCCTTTTGGTGCTGTTTTTTGACCTCTAGGGCTACCTTTTCCAGGAATCCTTGAAGGCGAGCGGGTTGGGTGCTGTCGCACGGGCAATAGACCTGCAGGTGACTCTGCGCCCGGCGGGGCAAGCTTTGCTTGCTCATTGGCGTGGCCAGCGGTGATGGGCTTCGCGTGAAGAGAACTTGCAACCGATAATCGTTATGGCGGGCACGGCACCAATCCAAGTTGCCTCTAAATGGCCCTTTGACTGAGTTCCTTGGCCCCAAACAAGCTAGGCTTCTAAGTCGTTCGATCCCTTGCCTCCCAAGCTCCCCCAACTGCCATCTCCTCAAAAACTTCTACACTTCCAGGAGGTCCCTTTGTTTCGGCCGGGGTGTCGCTGGGGGCCCCGGAAGTACCTGGTTGAGTCATTGCCTTCGCGGATCACCTTGAAACACCACCCGAACGATAGTACCGGGGTTCTATGTCCCAATTTCAGTGACCTGACTTCGGCAGACCCGGGAATTTGTTCAGTTTGGGGTAGGTGAATTCACCATCCATTCTAGAACCTATTTTAGTGGGGCTTGGGATGTTCACTGGGGGTACGGGCTTGGATTTTGCCCCATGTCCAGATCAAGTTTCTGTCCTCAGGAAGTGGGGGACCTACTTGACGTGCAGCGCAGCAAGGTGGCCCTGCAGCTGGCCGGAGGCCGCGAAATTCAGCAGATCTGTGGGGAGATCTGTGGGCCAATTGGCCGCTGCCCCCCCCCAAAGTGGTGGGCTTGCCGAGCCAAATGGGTATGGGTCAAAATTCAACCACCAGGAAACCGCAGGTTTTGGCACATTTTCCCATTTTCCAGGGTTCTATTAGGGTACCCATTTGTGACCCACACCCAAATGGCCCCCTTGATTTGCTTCCATGTTATTGCGAAGCGTCCTGCCGATTCCGCAGCGATATCAAAGGAAGTTGGGGTTGGCAGTAGACAGAAAGATTAGTCAGCTACTCTACCGTTGTGAAACAACGCAGTCTTATACATTTCAAATCAATGTGTCTATATATATACACACGTATATATAATATGTATACATATATACATACATATCCAGACATATCTGCACACCGACTTTGTTGCCTTTCAGTTCTTTAAGTTTTACCATGTGCAGACCTTGGCCAATTTGTGGTTTTGTAGTCCCGAACCGCGAGTTTGAAGGATTTCACAAGGGGCCTTGACACTAGTGTATTTATGCTGTTGACACGAGGGCTTGGACTCACCTTGGACGCTTCGCTGGCTACCTTAAAGGACATTGGTCGCCTGGTCAAAAAGGAGCTTCAAAAGCTGCATGACTGACTGTTTGGGCATGCGTTGGGGGGCCTAACAAGTCTAGCGTGGGGCCCTTTTGCGGCCTTTTGTTTGGATGTCGCCATTGGTCCTGGAGCTCGGACCATGTCTTTGTGAAAGCTCGCAAGCCCTTGCCTCAATTTCTGTTGAGGTCACTTCCTTTGCCTGCCTGCCTGGTAGGATAGCCAAAGCGCAATACCCCGACTCCTGTGTCCTTGTGGTATTTAGTAACTGGGCATCCCCCGTGGGAAACAACATCTATTTTCAAGTAGTGGAAAGTCACTCGCTGAGGCGTACAAAAGGGGGTGTTGTTTTCCACAGGGGAACCCCAAAGAGGATGGCTTTCCCGTGGCAAGGCGCCGGCTGCCGGGTTTCCAAATTCTTCGAGGAGGACGGCGAACAGCCGGCGCGAGTGCTCCGGGCCGAGGCGCGGAAGAGCACAGCTTGTTTTCCGTGGTTTCTGGTGTTTCTCATTCGTTTGTCCGTGGCTTTGTTTGTTTGTTTGTTTGTTTGTTTGTTTGTTTGTTTGTTTGTACGTTTGTTTGTACGTTTGTTTGTACGTTTGTTTGTTTGATTGTTTGTCTGTCTGTTTGTTTGTTTGAATCGTTGAGTTGGTGAGTGGTTGGCCTGTTTGATCGGTTTGTTTGTTTGTTTGTTTGTTTGTTTGTTTGTTTGTTTGTTTGTTTGTTTGTTTGTACGTTTGTACGTTTGTTTGTACGTTTGTTTGTTCGGTTTGTTTGTTTGTTTGTTTGATAGTTTGTCTGTCTTTTTGTTTGTTTGAATCGTTGAGTTGGTGAGTGGTTGGCCTGTTTGATCGGTCTGTTTGTTTGTTTGTTTGTTTGTTTGTTTGTTTGCTTGTCACTTGCCTTTTTTTCTGTCTTTCTTTGTGCCCACTCACAATTTTTGCTTGTTGTTTGTTTCTGACGAGGGTTAAAGCTTGCCTGCCACGTCCTTAGAAGACCCGCTGACTTGGGGGACCCGCTGACCCAGCCTGGAGAGCAAGCTGTTGAGGCAGCACTGCCTTGGGGACATACCCACGTCACGAACCTTTCGGGCCGCCTTTTTTGCACATTTGCAACGCCTCTCAAGCGGGGAAACATATTATATAGGTTTGACTTGCGGGGTGCATGCCTTTGGTGCAAGCAACAAGGAGTGAAGGAGCGAACCACGGAGCACGAAGCAAGCAAAAGCAAAGCGACGTACAGTAGCAATTGCAGACCCCCAACAAGTACCAATGACCAGCCCGACCAGCCCGACCAGCCCGACCAGCCCGACCAGCCCGACCAGCCCGACCAGCCCGACCAGCCCGAACAGCCCGACCAGCCCGACCAGCCCGACCAGCCCGACCAGCCCGACCAGCCCGACCAGCCCGACCAGCCCGACCAGCCCGACCAGCCCGCCTCCTCCACGAAACGAAAGGGACATGCCAGGGGGCGCCACTCCTTTCAAGAGGATTCAAAAGGGCATGCCTTGTTTCGGTTCCATTTTTTTGGTGACCCAGAAAAAAAAGAAAAGAAAAACAAGAAACCAGGCCACGGTCTCACTCACGGCTGGTGACTCGCCAAGATGTGCCTCCAGACCTTTCTCGCTCCTCGCTGCAGAATCTAGTGGACCTTTATCGCTCCCCCGCTTCCGCTTGAGGCTATGTCCCTTTCCGCTACGATGGGTGCGAAAAAACCTTCACCTACTATTCTCATCGAACCCCGCAAGTCAAGCCTGTACAATATGGCCGTGGCTCAAAATTAAACAGGAGGGGTTACGCAGGTTTTGGTCCATGTTTCCACTTACCAGGGTGAGCCACAGCCATATGTTGCCTTCGTCGGTTTCGGATTCTTTTGCGACCGAGGCGGCCTTTCCTCCGGGCAGCCACCGTGCCGAAGCCCACTTCGCGGTGGCGGATTCGGAGGCCGAGCGATCTCCCCGACTCCCCGACCGCTCGATGCGGTGCGAGTCGTCTCGCGGGTCGAATGCGGGGGCCGAGGTCCCAAACCTCGAATCCTGGGCCCAAGGCCCAAGGGGCAAGCTGCTGGTTTTTCATGTCTGAGACTTCTTGCTTTGTGCGGGTCATACGCCAAGCAACTAAAGACTAAAGGGGTACCCAACATTGCTCGTGTTCGATGATTCAGCACCACCTTTTGGTGGCCAATCAGTGAGAGGCTTTTGGTGGCGGGACATCTCCTATTTCCTCACGTTAGCATCCAAGCCAGATTCCTGGCAGAAGGATTGCCCGTACCCGAGAGAACCCCAAAGCCAAAACAAAGATTACCTTAGGACGTGCTTTTAAGATGTTTCCCAGTTGCTCAACGCATGTTGGCATTTTCTGTTGGTTTTCAAGAGACATGGTCTAATTCCGGCACATGGTTTCATTTTTTTTTGCCGTTGCTAACCTTGTGCAACTGGAAAGGGAACTTCTCGGAGTAGTTTGTCTAACATGTTTTTTAGCGGGTTCTCCCCGGCTGAAACGAGCCTAGTTTCCCCTGACAGGCCAAGAGCCTTTCGATGTTCTCATTTTCGTTGGCCAGGTATGGAGGTGGACATGAAAACGGCGTTTTCAGAAGGACGGCCTTCCAAACCAGGGGGCACTTCCACCTCCATGATGGGGTGAACATATGGGTGCCTTTGAGAAAACCGTTTTCGGGTTGGCTTACGGGGAAGCCAAGCGGGGTTCCCTGTGTTGACTTCAGCTTTGACACGTACCCATCGCTTTGACGGCTTATCGCAAGCGCATGGCATGCGCGTCAGCCAGCAGAAATCATAGGGATGGTCCTTTATGAACCAATATGTATGTCCTGTTTGTGAATCATAATGATTTGTGCAACTCGAACAGAGCGTAGACTTTGGAATCCCTGGGTTTGTTTCTCACTCCGGAGAGTTGCGTTTCTTGTTTCCCTTCTTCTGTTTTGGGTCTGTCAGTGGGCGTGTCTCGGAGAGGGTCTCGATGTCCTCTTATGTTGGCTAGGTTTCGTTTGTTCCCCTCTAAAGGTGATTGCCCGCAAAAGGATTCCAAGTCTTTCTCGTGCTTCGAATTTCCTGCCAGACTGATTTTGGAAAGAAGGAGCTTGTACTGTTTCATCTACAATGTCACGAATCCCCATTTTGCACCCCTCCTTGCACCTTCTGACCAAGTTGGAAGGTGGGACACCGGTCTCCAAAAAGGCAAAGAATGGTGGTCCCAACCCCCCGACCCCCCCACCCCCCCACCCCCCCACCCCCCCCACCCCCCCCACCCCCCCCACCCCCAGCAGTCAACGGCGCCTTCCCGCGCCCCGCGCCCGCCCGAGGCGACGGCGGCGACGGAGGCGGCGTGTGCGGGCGGCTGGGTGGAGCTCATGGCGCGCACGGACTTCCCGGGGCTCCGGTGCCACCTGGGCTGCGGCCAGCGCCGCTTCGCGCGCCTCGTCTTCCCGCCAGTCGGATGGACTCGGAGGGAGGGGAGGGGTCGGCGGAGGGAGGCGGCCATCTGCTTGTTGGTTTTTACAAGGGGGCGTCATCACTCCAGGGTTCCTGAGGTGCAGGCTTTTGTCCATCAGCGTCTCACGGTGCGAGCTTGACCCCTATGGGGGGGCGGAGGCGGAGGGAGGCGGATCGGCTTTCTGCTATTGGGTGCGATGCCCGCCGAGGAACACCAATCGGGGTTTGATCAATTTTGGGGGTCCCATCTTTTCGTCTAAACAGTGGTCCATTTTTTGCAGGCCATTGAGAGGTTGTCCTTTTTTAGTCTGTGAATTGAGTCTCTCTTTGGCACAAATATATGGATGGAGCCCTCTTGCATGGGTGGGCGAAGGCTCCAGTCTGCTCTTGGGTGGAAGCCTGAATGTGAGGGCGAGGGGTAGGCATTTTTGTTTTCAACCCTGGGGATCGCCCCTTGTGGTTCTGCAGGTACTTTTCGGTACTTTTCGGGTACGCCTTTTGTTGCAAGAAGTGCTTGGATGTTTCATACATTGGGAATGGGGCTGTATTTTCTTCTTTGGCTTTCCCTTCAAATTCGTTTGGTTTGCGCCGCCTGTTTGTGATTTAACAATAGAGGCCCTTGCGCAGTGCTGTACTGCCCCTTAGGGCCACGGACAGGATTGCTCCCCACAAACCGGCGAGCCAAAGCACACTGCGGGGGGAACCTGGACATCAACCTCGATTCCAACCTGGACACCAGTCACCAATCCGTCAGCAACCTAGACAGCAATTGGTTAGACAGCAACCTGGACACCAGCACAAACACCAACCCGAATCCCAGACTTTGGTTTTTCATGGTTGTTGTTGGGAAACATTTTACATTTTGCTTATTGTGGTTTAGTGGGAAATCCCCACTTAACTGCTTAAAAAAACATTTTTTGCTCCCCTCCCAACGTCAACCACGTATTTTCCTCGCTGGCCACCTCCGAGTGTTCGGGTCGCTCGAGGACCTTCTCGCCCACCAAGAGCCTGAAGCTCTACCGCTTCGAGTGCCCACAGGAGTGGGCTGGTGAAAGCGCCGGTCGCTGTGCGCCTTTCAAGGAAGGCACCCAAACCGCTAGACTATCCGGAAGGCAGGGTACCAGTTTGGGGTAGGTGAATTCACCACCCATTTTAGAACCTATTTTAGTGGGAATTGGGATGTTGACTGGGGGTACGAGCTTTTGACCCATGGCCAAATGGCAAAGAAGCAGAAAGTATGGGCAAATGAGGGTCAAGAAGCTTCAACTAACGTAGACCCTTGTCTCAGATGACAAATATCCCAAGATTCAAGGCTGGAAGGTAACCACAACAGGGATCGACGCTTGAGCCAGCATAAATTTGTGCCAGGGACAAACACCGGGTTGCTTGTGGCTGTTCAGGATGGCCTAAGGGTGGTCATCAACCCCTTTGTCAGGAATTCCAAATAGCCATTGCTAGGATCCCGAGGATTCAGCCATGGCTTTGATCCTGGCGCAGTTGCGTAAAGTTGGATACGTGCAAATAGGGGTCATGCCCAACTATAGATAGCGTTTTGTGGCCATCCAGACTTGTTCCCTGCCATAGGTGTTGGGTAGAGTTTGGTTATGGCTCAGGTAAGGATAGTGGGGAAGCAAACTTCACAACCACAGGAGGCTTTCACATGTTCCTTTTTACTGGCATCCTGCGTTGACAAAGTGTCTGATGATCCAAGGTGTCGAGGCATATGCAAGGCATGACCCTTCAAAGCTCAGGGTGCATGACGTCTCTCAGTTGAAGCCTTAGTGATTACCTCATGAGGTTGTTATAGCCCGGCACATTGCGACAGATTTGTCCCTTCGAGAGTCATTGCAAGCCATGCACATCCCAACATTCCCCCCGGTAGAACACAAAGGAGGAGGGTGAGAAACCGATTGTGTCTTTTCTGCCAAGGGAAGAGGGCCTTATGGTGCCCGTATGGTTGACACTTGCAGTCTCTGTTTGGCAAACCATTTTCTTCACCATATCCATTTGCAGGTTTGGTGCTGCAAAATTGACTTTATCCGTGCCTGGCACGCGGCGCCCCCAGCATTGCTCGTCCGAAATTTGAGCGGCCGAATGTCCCTCAAAGGGCAGTTTTCTGGGGATTCGCAGCCCCGTCTACGCAACGACGTAGAAGTGCGTACAGGATGCAATGACCTGTCGCATGTTCTTTTTTGTTTTGTTTTTGGAATTGTCCAATGTCAGATGGCTTGGCTTTTGCAGGTGGTCACCTTGACAGGTCCTGTGCTCCAATGCCCGTTTGTGCCCAGCCCCTTTCTGCAACATGGGGCAAGCTTCTCGCTGCTTTGCCAGGTGCACGTGGAAAGCGTGGACATCTCTTTTGATGACGCGCAAGAGGCCGGAATCGTCGTGCGCTGGTTGGGTTGCTGGCCAGAACGCTGTTTCCCTGCATCCCATTCTCCGGAGTAGAAGCTTTTTGGGCAGATCATGACGGGAAACACCAAACTCCATTTTTCTGGCCGATCTGCTCATTCGAGGGGCTTGTCAGCATCGCTCCCACCTCTCAAGGGCGGCTAACAAGTGGAACATTTGCTGTCAACCTCCATTTCGACAGAAGGGCTACAGTACATGTTGACAAGGGACCCTGTTAATTTTGTTTCTTTTCTTTCAGCTCCAAACAACTTGCCCACTGGCCACTGGCATCCCGTGCTTGAGACAGGGTTCCCTGCAATTTTGTGTGGTGGGTTTAAACATCACCTTGTTGCCAATGTTCTAGGGGTTGATTCCCCATTCATCGTTCTTTTCAAAAACCAGCCTTTCCCCCAGCGGTTTTGGTAGTTTTCTAGAAAGAGGGATCCCTGGAAAGAATGGGGAAGCTACGCGTAGCAATGTACCCACCATGCTTTTCACAGACTGGGAAGACTAAGCTTTTTCTGGGAAGCTCCATCCAGCCATGGGTCTTGTCTGAGCTTCCCGGCATGTAAGTGATCAGGCTGGGGCAATGCCAGGGGAACCCTTGAAACCGGTTTTTTCCTTTGTTTGGTAGGGGGGACTTCAATCAAGTGACAATCAGTGATCAGTGGACAAGGTTCCAAGGGCAAGGGTACTGATCAAGTGACAAATCAACTTTTCCTTGTTTGAAACCCGCTTCAAGTGACAGGAGACTTCGTGAGTGGCGAGTGAATGTAGACGTAACCCGCCAAAGCCATGGTTGTAAGTTCCCTACGCGGGCTAAAGCTATGATGACGAACCGCCTACTGAGCACCCGTCCCGGCTTTTTCGGGCTGGTTGGTGGTTTCCCCCTAGTGGGCAAACTCAGTTTGTTAAGCTTTTAAGATATCGTCAAAGGTACTCTAGCGCTTGCTTGGTGGTCTGGATTGGTGGTTCGGGGATTTGAACCCCTGGTTCTTGTAGAAGGGACAGGAGTTCCGGTGGCGCTTACTTGGTGGTTTGGACGGAGATTTTGAACCCCTGGTTCTTGTAGATGGGCCACCACCTCTTCACCTCATCAAACCATCGCTTCGGCTCCAAGCCACCGGCGCAGTGGCCGGGCAACGCAGGCGTCGCTGCAGCTGAGCGTGGGCTTCGGCCTGCGGCTACGGGGCCAGGAGATCGAGCCACGGTGGGTTTTTTTCGTCGTCGGATGGGTGGATACAAGCGGCGCAGCAGGGGGCTTCCAGCTTGATGCCCCGAGAGTTGGGGCGGTGAACAAAAGTCTCCTTTCCATGGGGAAAAGCTGTTCTGATTCACTGGCGAGATTGACCTTTTCAGGGGGTCAACATGGGGGTAAGCCAACCACAAGATGTGGTGAGTTGCAAGGCCTCCATTCTTGGGCCTTTTTGTGGGGGTTCACAGTTCATTTGCGGGAGAGCATGTATCAAGGGATGGTTTCTTGTTTCTTTCCTTTCAGAACTGCCTCCCCAGACGTGTCTGGTTTTGACACATACCCAAATGTATGCATGTGTGTGTGTGTGTGTCTCCTAAGTTTGGTGATGAAGCCTTTTGGTTGCTAGATCGGTTTCAAGGGAAAGCCAGACGGCAATCCGCCATAGAGGTCAACACAGGAATTGGGTCCTGGCTGAAATCATGTTGGTTTCTCTAGAAACAGTTAGTTGGGCAATGGCCCTCTTCGATTGCTGCAGGGCCGAATGACTGTGAGTGTTGGGTCATTTGAAGCGTTGGGTTTCTGTTGGTCCACATCACACTCGTGACGTTGACCCGAAGTCTTCGGCTCGTTTCTGTCACGTTTCGCTAGGTCTGTGCACACGGGGCGGAGGGATCATGTCGTCGCCTTCGTCTAAAGTATGTGAGTGAGTGAGTGAGTGAGTGAGTGAGTGAGTGAGTGAGTGAGTGAGTGAGTGAGTGAGTGAGTGAGTGAGTGAGTGAGTGAGTGAGTGAGTGAGTGAGTGAGTGAGTGAGTGAGTGAGTGAGTGAGTGAGTGAGTGAGTGAGTGAGTGAGTGAGTGAGTGAGTGAGTGAGTGAGTGGTGAGTGAGTGAGTGAGTGAGTGAGTGAGTGAGTGAGTGAGTGAGTGAGTGAGTGAGTGAGTGAGTGAGTGAGTGAGTGAGTGAGTGAGTGAGTGAGTGAGTGAGTGAGTGAGTGAGTGAGTGAGTGAGTGAGTGAGTGAGTGAGTGAGTGAGTGAGTGAGTGAGTGAGTGAGTGAGTGAGTGAGTGAGTGAGTGAGTGAGTGAGTGAGTGAAGTGAGTGAGTGAGTGAGTGAGTGAGTGAGTGAGTGAGTGAGTGAGTGAGTGAGTGAGTGAGTGAGTGAGTGAGTGAGTGAGTGAGTGAGTGAGTGAGTGAGTGAGTGAGAGTGAGTGAGAGTGAGTGAGAGTGAGTGAGTGAGTGAGAGTGAGTGAGAGTGAGTGAGAGTGAGTGAGAGTGAGTGAGAGTGAGTGAGAGTGAGTGAGAGTGAGTGAGAGTGAGTGAGTGAGTGAGTGAGTGAGTGAGTGAGTGAGTGAGTGAGTCAGTGAGTCAGTGAGTCAGTGAGTCAGTGAGTCAGTGAGTCAGTGAGTCAGTGAGTCAGTGAGTGAGTCAGTGAGTCAGTGAGTCAGTGAGTCAGTGAGTCAGTGAGTCAGTGAGTCAGTGAGTCAGTGAGTCAGTGAGTCAGTGAGTCAGTGAGTCAGTCAGTGAGTCAGTGAGTCAGTGAGTCAGTGAGTCAGTGAGTCAGTGAGTCAGTGAGTGAGTGAGTCAGTGAGTCAGTGAGTCAGTGAGTCAGTGAGTCAGTGAGTCAGTGAGTCAGTGAGTCAGTGAGTCAGTGAGTCAGTGAGTCAGTGAGTGAGTCAGTGAGTCAGTGAGTCAGTGAGTCAGTGAGTCAGTGAGTCAGTGAGTCAGTGAGTCAGTGAGTCAGTGAGTCAGTGAGTCAGTGAGTCAGTGAGTCAGTGAGTCAGTGAGTCAGCGAGTCAGCGAGTCGGTGAGTCGGTGAGTCGGTGAGTCGGTGAGTCGGTGAGTCGGTGAGTCGGTGAGTCGGTGAGTCGGTGAGTCGGTGAGTCGGTGAGTCGGTGAGTCGGTGAGTCGGTGAGTCAGTGAGTCAGTGAGTCAGTGAGTCAGTGAGTCAGTCAGTCAGTCAGTCAGTCAGTCAGTCAGTCAGTCAGTGAGTCAGTGAGTCAGTGAGTCAGTGAGTCAGTGAGTCAGTGAGTCAGTGAGTCAGTGAGTCAGTGAGTCAGTGAGTCAGTGAGTCAGTGAGTCAGTGAGTCAGTGAGTCAGTGAGTCAGTGAGTCAGTGAGTCAGTGAGTCAGTGCGTGCGTGCGTGCCTGCGTGCGTGGGTGCGTGGGTGCGTGGGTGCGTGGGTGCGTGGGTGCGTGGGTGCGTGGGTGCGTGGGTGCGTGGGTGGGTGGGTGCGTGGGTGGGTGGGTGGGTGGGTGGGTGGGTGGGTGGGTGCGTGGGTGGGTGGGTGGGTGGGTGGGTGGGTGGGTGGGTGCGGGTGGGTGTGTGTGTGTGTGTGTGTGTGTGTGTGTGTGTGTGTGTGTGTGTGTGTGTGTATGTGAGAGTCGAGAGTGTTTTTGCTTGTTTGTGTGTTTGCGTGTTTGCGGGTTTGTTTGTTTGTTTGTTTGTTTGTTTTGTTTTCCATGCCCGTGAGCAGCTCGCGAGTTTGCAGGACCTCCTGAGCGGCATCCGCGTGTGCTCTCTAGGCGAGGACAAGGCCTGCAGCGGCTCAGGGACGGGGCCAGGTGGGGGGCGTTCGGAGGAGCCCAGATCTGAGGATTTGGTTTCCAAGGGAGCGATTAATCTTGTTTTTGTGGCTTGCCTGATTGCCGGCGTGGGGTCCGATTTGTCAAGCCTCTTGAGAATATCTCACATATTGCGAGGGCGGGATTGCCCATCGTTTGGCCAGCACATGTTCCAGCATTGCCTGATAGTGGCACCAGCCATCGCCTGACACAGTTGCGGAAATGCAGCTTTGATTCTTTAATATTATTGGTCCGTTGAACAACTTGCGCAACATTTGCTTGTCTAGTAGCTTTTGTGCAGCATCATCCCTGGAATCATGGACCCCAAAACCAAGAACGCCAAACAGAAACAAAACAACACATCCCAGCCGGGGGGGGGAGGGAGATTTGTTTCTTGTTTGGTTTTGGTTTTCAGAGAGGGGTAGCGTATGTATTTACATGCAATAACTACATGCGCGTGGGTGTACGTACTGTGCATGTCGTGGTTCCCTCCACAGGATAATGAGGGGTCAACCTGGGCACTTACCAGATTGAACACGAAGGGCCTGCGAAAACAAGCCACGTTTCCAGAAACACTTTTTTTGCTGGACCAAAGGTCCGAGAATGCAACGAACAAGTCTTGGGAATCTTCAATGAAAGTGTTTGAACAAGTCGCCAATGTTGCGCAACATTTCCGAGAGGCTCTCGGCGTGGTTTGCAAAATCTTGCGCAACATGTCCACAGGACCAACAGCCAAAAGCCACAACTTTCCAGCCATGGTTGGGGTAGGACTTTTTGTTTTTGATTGCCAAAGTGCAGACCTTGCAAAGTTGCAAACTTGCAACTCTTGCCAACCTGGCAAGTTTCCAAGTTTGCCCTGCAAGGCTTTCCAAGCCACTGCCCAGGCAAGTTTGCCAAATGTTGGCCAACATGTTGCGCAACACTTGGGAGATGTCGCGACATGTCCACTGGACCAAAAAACATCGAAGAAAAACAACTTACCCCCACTGGCCGGAAATGTGAGGAGTGTTGCGCTATTCCAAAGAACCAAAATTAAAACAGAAAATGCTACTTCTTGATGGTTTCTACTTGGCCAAAGGCCAGAAATGCCACTTTTGTTTGGATTGTTTTGGGCTTGAGTGTTTTTAGTGGGGAGTACGGCCAAATGCCAGACATGCCATGTTTTTTTGTTTTTTGTACGGAGGGGGGGGGGGGAATGCAGCCAATTGCTAAACAAAAACATGTTTTTTTTTGTTTTTTGTTTTTTTTTTGTCTTCTTCTTCTTCTTTTGGGGGGTGGTGGGGGGGTGGGAGGGGGGAAGGGGGGGACGATATATTATGTATGTGTATGTAGATATTCATGTCTATACATATATATATATATATATACACACCATATATATATATATATATATGTACCACATACTAGCAAATACACAAACTCACACATGCAGCTCTGGTGCATCATCACCCCTATAAGAGCTTTTCCGGAGGCGGTCCTCAAAGACGTGGAGGACGTGGAGGCCTTCAAGTCCGCGCTGTCC